CCTAATTTTTGAGATATGAATTATAGATTCTCAATGGGTCTTTGGTATAATTTTTTAATTTTTTCTTTAAGCTAGGAACGCTACTTATATTCTCTTATCACTTGGTCACAAGATGATTGTGAGATACTGTAATAATTGAATGACAAGGAAAGCGGTTGAAAAACTACCCTCCCCGGGTTATTGACATTTGAGGGTTATTAAAAAATTATCTCCTTTCACGATATCTAGGCTCAAATGAGGTGACTAGGGATATCTTCTTAGTGTTTGGTAATTACAAAGAATGCCTTGTGTCATTAGAAAAATTTGTCTGAAAATGTACATCATTTTATGTTTTATAATTGCATCATTTTCCATTTTATTTTGAATAAAATATCTCATAGTAATGCACGAATTAATTTTGTCGTGTTTTTGGTAAGTATGGTTAGTGGGGGTTAATATGGTTGGTAGGGTGAGGTGTGAGATTCTGAAATTTGCATGATCAATGCACTAGTATGTCCTTGTTAAAAATATATGCACAAATAAATATTAGCTCACGAAATATGAATAAGTGCATCAAAGATTAACGTTGACTGGGTCCTCTAGTGAAGAGGTTTTCAAACCGGCCTTGAGTTGGGCTAGGACAGGAGAAAGTGTCTCATCTTTTATAACCGATTTAGCTCATTTGACATCGATTATAAACTGGGAATTCTCCATATTTATTGGATTTCTTCATCTTCAATCATGATTCATTTCAGTCGAGTCCAACAATAGTGTTCTTACAATCAATTGAGTGTCCCTAGAAATATGATCATGAGATGCATGTAGAAAATTTTGATGTTTATGGATGCATGATATGCATGAAGTGAACATTTTTATGTATTATTTTTTATTATGTTACATTGAATGGTATTCAACTTATAACTAAAAATGATGCATGAGATGCGAGTAATGTTAATACTATGCATTTGATTTATGTTGGGATGTATGAATGATGCGAGAATGCAAATTTGTATATATGATGCATGAAAATACGATGGATGCAACTAAGGAATGCATGAGATTTTTTTTTTAGTGATTTGGGACTCTCGGAAAATGCAACTTATGATGTGTATGACATTGAATGCATGAAGACTATGATATATTAGAAGATATAAGATGTTTTTTGTTTTGTTTTTTATGATAACGAATAAGGATATCAATGAATGATAATGCATGAAGTGTAATCTTTGAATGAATAAATTATTCTTTGGATGAGAGTGCAAGAGTGAATTGGTGTATGTATGTTTATTTTTAAGTGCACATGAATGTATATTGATTTTTTATTTTTGAATGCATGAATATATGAATAATGTAATGGATGAATGAGAGAATAAATGTTTGAATGATTTATATGCATGAGTGGATGAATGCTTGAATTGTATTTTTCATGTATGAGTGAATGAATGAATCTATAAATAAGTGGAAGAATGATATGTATAATGTATTTTTTTTTTAAATGCATGTGTGCATACATGAATATATATAAATGAGTAGAAGGGTGTTTGAATAATGTATGCATGCACATTGGATGAATAAGTTGATATATGTATGAATGATGTATGTTGGATGTGTTTTCAAATTTTCTCTTTGAATGTCTGAATGAATGCGTAAGTCAATCAGTGAATTTTTTTTTTAATGCATGAATGAATGCATAAGCCAATTAATGTAGATTTTTATTTTCAATGCAATGAGTGGATGCATAAGTCAATCAATAGATAAATTTCTTTTTTGAATGCATGAATGAATGTTTAAGTCAATCAATGAAGATTTTTATTTCGAATGCAATGAATAAATGCATAAGTCAATCAATAAAAATTTTATTATTGAATGCATAAATGAATGGATAATTGAATTAATGAGTGAATAAATGCATAAGCTCACTAATGAAGATTTTTAGTTTTAAATGCAATGAATGAATGCATAAGTCAATCAATGAAGATTTTTATTTTTGAATGTAATGGATGAATGAATGTTTGGGTATGTATTTTTTGTTTTTGAGTTAATGCATTCATAGATGTAATGTGTGGAAATGCAAAATGCAAAATGCAAGCCCCTTAAGGTAATAGACCCTATCTCAACCATCATTATGATTAATATGTAACTTTATAAAAGATTATTTTTTTCTTATCATTCAGGCTGAAATAGGGCAAAGATTGATTGCCCTATTTTTTAGCGGTAATCCCTTTTTAGGTGATAGGAACTCCCCTCAAGGTTTACTACACAAAAGTCTATGTTGCAAGATGAGATCTCACACCATTTATGACATATGTTTTTTTATTTTTAGGACAAGAGTCCGAAGTTATGCATGGTACGGTATGATACATGTTTCTCAAAGTTCGTAATGGGTACACCTATAAGGGTTTTTGCAATATCTAAGGAACAACATCCTATGGTAGAGTTCTAAGGTAAAGTGTATACCTAAGCAAGCCTTAGACTTCCTATAAGGTGCCCATATTGCATCTCTTCAAAGAAGAAAAACCCAAATATTATGGGGGTTAGAAACAAGAGCCAAGCTTAAGTCTCTAACTCAAAATACTTGGTAACAATATGAGTGGTCCACATCACCAACACCAGAAATGACAAAGGCCATGACCAGCGAGGCTAGTGTCCCTGCTATCCAAAAATATATCACCAATACCCGGGTATAGGGCATATGTGTGTGCCAAAACTTGTGTACTATATTCTTAAGGAAATAAATATGTAACTTCAACCACAACACATATCACAAGGTAAAATAAACCAATATACAATTATTTAATAACAATAAACAATCAATATGTTTTTTTTGCAATAAATTTAAATAACTAAATAATTAACAGTATAATTAGTCATATAGTATAGTGGTTATGGGCCAGATTCTCTAAAAAAACTCTCCAGCAGAGTCGCCAGCTGTCGCGCCCCGATTTTCGGCTGCACAACTTTGTTAGAGTCGCCACTACATTTTATGGTAAAATATGTAGAAAAATCTTTTACCTCAATTACATTGGGTTTTGGATTTTTGATATCCAGGTTCAGAAGTCGGTTACGGATTAGGAAATGTATTAGCACCCCATCTGCCCGCTTTAAGCGGTACCCTTCACTAAATTATATGGCTTATATTATACTTTAATTATTTGGGTTATTTAATTAATTATTTCTATGGACATATTTTATTTATTTTTTGTTGTGCCTGACAAGATGAGATCTTGATCCTACGTATCCCTATTAAAGGAATCAAGGCTACGTAGTTCTTTAATTTTAAAAAAATGATTGTTGGTTGTATATTAATTAGGAAAGAAGCGGCGTGGCGCAACCGTCCAAAGAATGCGTCAAGGAAAAGAAGCTCTAAGGAGCAACCATTCCTACATCCTTGATATTTTTTGATTATCATTATTTTGTAAAAAATATATTGGTTTTAATATTTATTAATGAAAATTGATTTTTATTAAAATGTGTATTTGTTATCAATTTTGGGAATTAATCGAATGAAGAGAAGCAGCCTAGTGCGACCATTCGAAAATGATTTGAGGACGAGAAGCGTTTCCGCGACCCTCCTCCATCTTTGATTAACCCAAAATAGTGAAGAAATGATGTTGATATTAAAGTATGAAATCATATTTACTAAATCCTATTATTAGCATTATAAATATTAAACAACAATTTAATAATAATAATTTTAAACAGACCATTATTCCCACAGAGCGTTATTCCCTTGTTCAAACAGTATACGATTGCTTTGTTACATATGCATATATGATATACGTGATTAGTATATTAAATGATAAAAAGCTATTGTTGAATGATTCTTTTGGCAATAAAGTGCAAAGGCATATGGAGTAAGTTGATACCTGTGGAATCCTAAATATTGAGATATGCTAATATGCTAGTTCTGGAATAACATACACAAGCTAGTACGCTAAGCTAATGCACACAAGTTGGTGCTGTGTTGCGCGGGACTGATGACACGCTAACTTGGAGTTGTGAGCCTTTTGAGGTTTGCTCTTATTGAAGATCCCTATAAACCTTCACTTCTGCCTAGTCCATGCACAAAGACTTTCTCCCATGTCTTATAATCCCAACGGCTTCATGGCCAAGTGTACACGTGAGGAAACTTCCAGATCATTCTTGCTTCAAGTATAAGCGTCATTATGGCATAGAGTAGTGTAGAAGATTTCAACACTGACTTTGTTGGCTTGCCAAGGACGCACCTGAACGTATTAGGTTGAATATTCCCCAGGGGTTGTTGGTGCTACGATGGTATTTATGAATGTGTAGTTATGGATGGGAGGTATGTGTGTGAAAGTTATGAAATGGAGGATTTTGGGATTAAGTGAGTTGTGGGAGGTTGAAGAAGAAGGATGGCATACTTCCTCATCTTCTCTCATTTTTTCCTGTTTTATCTATTCCTCCTCTCTCTCCCCATTAATCTCCCCCCTTTTGTGTGTATGACTAACCAGTTATTTAAAGAAACTTTGGAGAAACTGCATCCTCCTAAATAATAGGGGAACTGCCCGACTTACTCAAAGAATTAGTCATGGGAATGACTTGTCCTCAAAAAAGAAAGCCAACAAACGGCACTGCTTTATGTAAATGAGAATCATGTGGCCCCCCTTACAAACACGTTATGGTATGATGAATAATGCTCATATGTTTGAGAGGTTATTGTTAAGAGGGGATAGTGGAGTTTTGGGATTTAGAGATTATGTGGGTATTTTGGGATACCTAAATAAATTGTCATTTTCGATAGAAAATACCCAAAGCATTTATATTATTTATCAATCATTTCTTTTGAAAAAAATATTTTGGCCGGACAAAATTGGGTGTTCACAACCCTTAAAAATTATTTGATTAAAACTCTATTACTAAAACAAAATATTTTTATTTTTTATTGTTGTGCCTAACAAGAGTTCAACTTGCTCCTACGTATCCCTAGGTGCAATAGGGAAATCAATGCTACGTAGTTCTAGTTCGAAAATTAATTAAATTGGTTTGGGTAGTTTTAAAATATGTTGAAGTAGTTAAGTCATACAATATGATTTTTTCTAAAATACTTTTGATAATGCTACGTATCCCTCCATCGCGCTTGGTTGAAAAGCCAGTGGCGCGAAGCTACCGTGCGTTGGATTATGACTGAACGCCTCTAAGTCAGAATCCGGGCTAGAAGCGATGCGTGTGCCCGTCGCCCGTTTGCCGACCAGCAGTAGGGGGCCTCGGCCCCCAAGAGGCACGTGCCGTTGGTGATCCCCGCGGGGTGGACGATCCTCGCGGGACGCCTTGAAGCGCTATTCCCCACTGGGCGGCGGGTAGAATCCTTTGCAGACGACTTAAATACGCGACGTGGTATTGTAAGTGGCAGAGTGGCCTTGCTGCCACGATCCACTGAGATTCAGCCCTTGTCGCTTAGATTCGTCCCTCCCATCTCAAACACTTTCCCGAGCTTGCTCGTACAACCCAGGAGGGTTACATCCCGCACCTCGCATGGGCGACGAGGCGAGCAGGTGCAAAGTCAGTGTTCCTTAAGCCCAAGGTAGAGACAAAGTCACTTACAATGTGGTGTGCGGCATCGCCTCTGGCCATGCCCCCATGGCGCGCTAGCATGGTGCCCTGTGTGTGGGTCATGGAGTGCGGTGGTTGGGTGCTTTGTGCATGGGGTGTGGTTCCTCGTGCGTGATCCCGAGTGCTAGGTGAAAGTGCGGGAATGACAAACGTGCTCGGAGGAAGTGAGGACATTACACGTGCTCGGTGACATTGAGGACATGACACATGTGTCCGAGTGCTAGGTGAAATTGAGGTCGTGACACACTTTCCTAATGCTAGCTGAAAGAGAGGCCATGATTGGACTTGCACGAGTGCCATTAGGGGTAATTGATGCCATGCGAAATGTGTCCCGAGTGGTCCTAGGTGAAATTGACCCAAGCCATGGCACATGTGTCCCGAGCGGTCCTAGGTGAAAGTGGCCCATGGGCATGTCCCGTGCCTCGTGTGAGTTTTTTTGCTTCACTTGCATTCCCTATTTCGGTGAAAGCATGGTAAGGCGCCGACCCCTTAATCAAATGCCACCAAATTTGGAGGCCAACTTCGAATTGTTTAGCCATGGTTGCCTACAAAAGAAGAGCTCCAGAAACATGTCCACATCCATTTTCCAATTTTCTGGAATTATAAAATGCTCGCCGGCTAGAAAAATCATGAAATAATATCGGCTTGGAGAAAAATCCTGAAACTTTGTGGACCACTATGTCCCATTTTTATAAGCACTTGTGCAAAAAATCAGGTCAAAATTCGACCCGTAGCCTCAGAAAAACCGAGTATGTCTCCCCAGAAAAAAGGATGTCCGGTGCTGGAGAGTGGGTTTTTGCATACTAGCCTACTATAGGGGGGAGCTGCCTGCCTGCCCACGCACCTTGGTGGGTTAGGATGGCGTGCCATGGGGCTCCCTCCCAGCGCACCAGCAAGCTTTCCCAAGCATGCTGGTGCGTTTTTCAATGGTGATGTGGGAAATTCGACCGAGTCAAAAATATTCCACGCCGAATCCAGGTCGTACGTGGGCCGGTGCTGGCTGGTCCAACGGAAAAATGTGGGCATCTCGTAGTGAGCATATCCGGCACCAAGGCACATTTGGCGTGCAGCAAGTTCTTGGCTTGTTCCTCATGGCCCAACTCAAAATTCTTGATGCCTTCGTCCCTATGGTCGAGGTGCCGGTCTGGCATCACAGTGGGTAGTTGCGGTCATCCCTCGGACGTGCCGAGGCTTCCAGTGTGACCCGTCCCGCACGAAAGGTTGTGGCGCTAGGTGATGCCTTCACGGTCATATCCGTAGCACGAAGAGGCAAGTTCCCAATCATCCGGAAGTGCACTATGGGCGGTTCATCATGGTCGAAGCCAAGGCGCGGCCGTGTTTGACGCAATCAGCAACGTCTCTCCAGTCGCCTCGTCCCTCGGAAAAGTGTGCTCTGTTGAGGTGCCGGCCTGGCCTCACAGTGCCGAGATGGGTAGTTGTGCGCATCCCTCGGACACGCCGAGGCTTCTAGTGTGACCCGTTCGGCACGGAAGGATGTGGGTCTACGCGTTCCCTTCAGTGGCATATCCGTAGCACGAAGGGGCAAGTTCCCAAACATCCGGAAGTGCACTCTGGGCGGTTCAACACGGTCGAAGCCAAGGCCATGGTTGAAGCAATCAGCAACGTCTCTCCAGTCGCCTCGTCCCTCGGAAAAGTGTTCTCAGTTGAGGTGCCGGCTTGGCCTCACAGTGCGGAGATGGGTGGTTGTGCGCATCCCTTGGACGCGCCGATGCTTCTAGTGTGAACCGTTCGGCACGGAAGGATGTGGGTCTACGCGTTCCCTTCAGTGGCATATCCGTAGCACTGAGGGGCAAGTTCCCAAACATCCGGAAGTGCACTCTGGGCGGTTCAACACGGTCGAAGCCGTGGCAAGGCCATGGTTGAAGCAATCAGCAACGTCTCTCCAGTCGCCTCGTCCCTCGGAAATGTGTGCTCTGTTGAGGTGCCGGCCTGGCCTCACAGTGCCGAGATGGGTAGTTGTGGGCATCCCTCGGACGTGCCGAGGCTTCTCGTGTGACCCGTTCTGCAGGGAAGGATGTGGCGCTAGGTGTTGCTCTAATGGGCATGGCCGTAGCACGAAGGGGTAAGTTTCCAAGCATCCGGAAGTGCACTTTTGGCGGTTGAACATGGCTGAGGCCATGGCGCGGTAGTGGTTGAGGCCATCAGCAACGTGTCCCCTGTTGCCTGTCCCTCGGAAAAGTGTGCGCTGTTGACATGCCTGCCTGGCCTCACAATGCCGAGATGGGTAGTTGCGGGAATCCCTCAGAATTGTCGTGTCTTCATGTGTGGCGTGATCTGCACGGATGGTTTTGGTGCTCGGTGACCCTTCATGGTAATATATGCAGGCACGAAGGGTCAAGTTCCCAAGCATCCGGAAGTGCACCCTAGGCGGTTCAACACGGTTGGAGCCATGGGGCGGTCGTGGTCGAATCAATCAACAATGTTTCTCCTGTCGCCTTGTCCCTCGGGAAAGTGTTCTGTTGAGGTGTCGGACCTGGCCTCACAGTGCAGAGTTGGTTTGTTGCGGGGATCCCTCGGAATTGTCGTGGCTTCTACTGTGGCCCGTTCTGCACGGAAGGTTGTGTTGCTCGGTGAACCCTTCATCGGCGTAGCTGCAGCACCATGGGTCAAGTTCCCAATCGTCCTGAAGTGCACCCTGGGTTGTTCAACACTGTTGGAGCCATGGGGCGGACGTGGTCGAATCAATCAACAACGTTTCTCCTGTCGTCTTGTCCCTCGGAAAAGTGTTCTGTTGAGGTGCCGGCCTGGCCTCACAGTGCAGAGTTGGTTTGTTGCGGGGATCCCTCGGAATTGTCGTTGCTTCTACTGAGTCCCGTTGTTCACGGAAGGTTGTGGTGCTCGGTGAACCCTTCATGGGCGTATCCGCAGCACCATGCATGGGTCAAGTTCCCAAGCATCCGGAAGTGCACCCTGGGCGGTTCAACACGGTTGGAGCCATGGGGCGGTCGTGGTCGAATCAATCAGCAATGTTTCTCCTGTCGCCTTGTCCCTCGGGAAAGTGTTCTGTTGAGGTGCCGGCCTGGCCTCACAGTGCAGAGTTGGTTTGTTGCGGGGATCCCTCGGAATTGTCGTGCCTTCTACTGTGGCACGTTCTGCACGGAAGGTTGTGGTGCTCGGTGAACCCTTCATGGGCATATATGCAGGGCACGAATGGGCGTAAGTCCCATAATCTGGTAGTGTGTTGTGGGTGGTTCTCATGGCGGAAGCGAGGGTCTTGATTGTGGCCCCTCAGTGCAGATTTGGTTAAAGATAAGGCCATGTGACACTTTGTTGCTTGTTGGCTTGTGACTCTTAGAAGTGTGTTGGGGGGGCTGGGCTGGCTCACCCTTCAGAGTTTGGGAATTCACGCAGTCCCTTATTCATGTGTTGCATCTGGAATCACTTGCCTCATCAAGATTGATATCCTGAATTTTTAGTTTTCCACTTTGCTCTTCGAGGGTTGTGGATCCGCAACTTGTGTGTGCGATTAGTCGAATTGGAGAAAAGTCCACGATACACACATAGTCCCTTATTCATGTGGTGCGTGGCCTAGCCTATGGCACACTCACCCAAGCCATGGCACATGTGTCCGTCAGGGCATCATGGATTGTGCCGCACGTCGGTTGAAAATCATTTGAGGTAAATGCCTCGACCTTACATGGACGTAACTCTGGGAAATGTTTATGAATAATATTCCTGGAACTCCTGCAATAGAACAGCTCAAGAAACATGGTCCACACCCATTTTCTAATTTTCGGGAATGACATAAAGCTCGTCGGCTAGGAAAATCATGAAAAAGTATCGGCTCGGAGAAAAATCGTGAAACTTTGTGGACCACTTGCTCCCACTTTTTATAAGCACTTGTGCTAAAAATCAGGTCAAACTTCGACCCGTAGCCTCAAAAAAACCGAGTATGTCTCCCCAGAAAAAAGGATGTCCGGTGCTGGAGAGCGGGTTTTTGCATATTAGCCTACTATAGGGGGGAGCTGCCTGCTTGCCCACGCACCTTGGTGGGTCAGGATGGCGTGCCATGGGGCTCCCTCCCAGCGCCCCAGCAAGCTTTCCCAAGCATGCTGGTGCGTTTTTCCATGGCGATGTGGGAAATTCGACCGAGTCAAAAATAGTCCATGCCGAATCCAGGTCGTACGTGTCCCGGTTCTGGCTGGTCCAACGGAAAAATGTGGGCATCTCGTAGTGAGCTTATCCGGCACCATGACACATTTGGCGTGCAGCAAGTTCTTTGCTTGTTCCTCAAGGTCCAAGTCAAAAATCTTGATGCCTTCGTCCCTTTGGTCGAGGTGCCGGTCTGGCATCACAGTGGGTAGTTGCGGTCATCCCTCGGACGTGCCGAGGCATCTAGTGTGACCCGTTCCGCACGGAAGGTTGTGGCGCTAGGTGAAGCCTTCACGGGCATATCCTTAGCACGAAGGGGCAAGTTCCCAATCAT